GCTCGGAAATACGTCAAGTAGGAATTCATGACATCTATTACTAGCGAATTAGTGGTCTGAATAATCTTAACAGTGCTATTGTTATTGCCCAGATAACTTTCATGTTTTTGCTATGCAGATGACATCCTCTTACTTAGTTTTACCTCAACCGCGGACTTCAGGTGCTAATTAACTATGCCAATAAGAATATCGTTGAACATAATCTACCCAGCTAAAAAATTCTGTTTTATCCTCGTTAAAATTCAAAGAGGAGCCCACATGGTTTCTGAACAACCATATTTTGTCATCTGTTGAAAAACTAACTTACCTTGGAATTATACTTTCATCAAACTTGAAAGGCAATTGCCATGTAGATGAACGTATTAGCAAATGTTAATGGGAATTTTTCTCAATACAGAGTGTCGGCTTTTGTAAATCGGGGTCAACAATGATGTAAACGTTTACATATGGAACTCCATTTTATCTCCTATTTTAACCTCCGGTAACAAAATAATGTGTTAACTTAACTCGTATATCAATAAACTCGACAATCTACAGAATAAGTTCTGAAAGCTGCAATTGGTATACCTAAATTTTGCAGAAGCACCCCTTTTATTTACACAATTGACGTACCAAAAGTCAGTAATAATTATAGTTAAATGCTTTTATTTAGACCTCATGGCCCAGAATTTTAATATAAATTCTGCTGCTCATTCATTTTATTCACACTTATTAAATTACTATTTTAACAATGATATGTCTCATCTTAAGGGCACCTTAGTCTCTCGTGTTTTAAATTTTGCTCACACCAACAACTTTTCGTTTATTCAATTCAGTTTTGATGTTAAATACCGTATGCATGTTAAGCCATATTTTAAGAATAATTTTTGTATTGATCATTGAATCTGTGATAGTATTAAGTCCTTATTATTTATTAATGATTTAGATAGTATTTATAGATTATTATTGTCTTTTTAAACTTTTTGCCTTTACGTTGTACTGTATTGCATTTGTCGTACAAACTTGCTTCTCCTTCGGTTGGTTTATAAAAATAAATTAAAAATTAATGATATAATCTAGTCTTAAATTTTTAAAGTAAAGAAAATGATCTTAACATTTGTTGACTTTACATTTTACTACGTGTATTGTTAAATATGTGGTCAAATAAAAGTTTTAACAAAATAATATTTACTGTGCAGGTTGAATTGTGTTAGTTGTTTAACCCAATAATGAGAATGAAACAAACGAAGGTTTTTAATTGGTGGATCCTAACTACCTGTATAGCAGCCTTGATTTGACTTCAGTTCGCTGCTTTCGTGATGGATGAACTAGTAAATGATACAATGTGGCAAAAACGTTTCCATATATTATAATTGAACGTCAGCAATATTAAATTATACACTTTGAAAAACATAATTTCTTTTTCCATGTCAAAGAGTGATATTTTCAAGTCCAGCTTCAACCTCCGTGGACTGAGGTGGGCTCGTCCCTCTTAGTCATTGGCCCATCAGAAAAATATATTATATTTGCCCCTCTGATTAAGCTGGTATTTATAACTTTGTCGGGCATTTGATATTACATATCCTAAGTCAATATATTATTGACATCATCACGTTTTATCAGTGTCATCCATTGTTGTTTAAAAATGTCAATGATATCTATATTTTGTACGCCAAAATACTATATGTTTTTTTTTTTAAATTTGAATAGAAAGATTCATGTTGAATTTTTTTTTTTCAGAATATGTCGTTGTATTACACGAAAAGCCAAAGGGTTGTACGCGGTAAGATACTTGTAATACATACAGTTGTTTCGATTTGCACTCCCATCCATAAATCATTCAATTTATTTCCTTAATGTAAAGATTATATAACGTATATGGCAAGACCTACCGGTACATATTAGAAAATTAAGGCCCATTGACAAAAGAAGAGAAAAATAAATTCGTCTTCTAATAAAAATATCAATTGAAGATGGGATTATCTTTGTGAAGACTAGTTAAATTAATATTTATATTAGTTAATAATATTGAATTTGGAGCTGGATGGGCACACCATATCCGGTGATAGTAGTTTTTGTACCGCTTTTGCCTCTCCTCAGCCCTCCTCTGCCCTCCTCTTTCTTTTTTGATTGCTTTTGTGGTTCTGGCTGAAAGGAATAAAATAAAAAATAAAAACTATACATCGATGCGATCAAAACCCAAGTTTCCTTACTTTACGGATCATAAAAAAAATCATATTTAGTATAATTGAAAATACTTATCTGGTTTGTAGATACGATGTGAGAAAGGTTAATTAATCAATTAATTTGAACTGATGTTTATTGATAGTTTCCATGTTCATTCCATGAACATCATCTTCAGAATGACGACGCTAATATTAAGCAAAACGCCCATCAAGGTGTAAAGGAAGAATCTAACCTAATTCTACCAGCAGATAAGGGAAAAGTCACAGTAGTAATGAACAAGGCTGAATACGAAAAAGCAGTACAGCCTATGCTCTCGGATACAAACCAATGAAGTACTGAAGAAAGACCTTACCCCGCGGATCCTCGATATCGTCAATAAAGACCAAGGTGACAACCTTACGCAGCATCTCAATGCCGTGGGCCCCACCAGCAGCATCGAATTTACACATGAAACGGAAAGTGATGGTAAAATACCCTCCCTCGATACCTTGATCGTTCGTAAGCAAGATGGAACTGTTAAACCCCTTGTATACAGGAAACCATCTCACACGGACCAGTATTTGAATTTTAATTCTCATCATCCATTACATAAAAGATGGGAGTTATTCGCACATTACCGGAACGTAATGAATAACATCGTTAGTGAAAACAAGGAAAGACACATCTTAACAGCGATTTCTAATTTTGACTATCCCATTCCAGGCCTTTAAAAAGAAAATGGAGGAGAAAAATACAAAACAAAAATCCTAACCTTGGAGCTTTTACACATCCTAAGCTGAAAAAAAAAAAAAACACAGGAAGAAGTAAAAATGTTAGTTGACATCCCATACGTTGCTGGTTTATCGGAGAAAGTGTCTAAAATGTTCAAGGAAGTAAAGTGTCAACACAGCAATGAAACCACACTTATCATATCACTTAAAAGACTGCTTGTCCAATTTTAGATCGAGTTTACAAGAGCAAATACAGCTGTGTGTATACAATTCTGTGTGGTAACTGTAAATACAAATACTTTGGTGAAACTGGGAGATTAAAAAAACATCAAAGAGAAGTAGAAAAGTACAATATTGAAGAAATTACACCCGGCAATCTCGAAAAGAATTACAGTCAGAATTTAGCAAATCCGTCATTGCAGACCACGCCATCAAGCAGAAGCACGTCATTGACTAGACATATCCTAAGATCATCGGTCGAGCTGATGATGAAAACACTAGGCGCATCAAGAATTCCATGTGGATCAGATGTAGAGTAGAGGGAAATGAACCAGGAACCATGATCATTATGATCAAAAACGGAATTAGAATGTTCAATGCCTCTGTGCGGCTGGGAAGTTGTAAAACAGTTTCCACTCCGCTTCCAATATTTTGTTCTCTGCTATATTGTTAGAAGAGTGTACGCCTGATACACATTGTATTTTTAGCTGGGTTTGTGTAATGTATCGCTTTTTTTTTCTACCGAGCAATTTGAAAGATTTTGTTCGTTTTTTCAGCTTTCGTTTTATAGACTTCAACAAATCAAATTGTTGTGTGCCACTGATTTTAAAGCGATTCCTAATAAACTATGAATCCGGTAGAATCTCATATTGAGATTTAGTTTGTGTAAAGCATCGTGTGTGTATGTTTGTCTTGTGTAAGGGATTGTCACCTACAAGTAGGACAGTGATATATATTCGCTATTGGCAATCATTGGCATATGTGATGTGTGCCTAAAGAAAGAATAATAATAATAATAATAATAATAATAATCAGTATTTACTACAATTATGATGGTACTAAAATAAACCTTATGTGTGCAACATGTTTGACAGTCATTTTTAATGTATTATTTATCCTTAGACTTAGACAGAGTAGAGGGAACTCAAGTGCAAATAGCTTCGGTGAGAGAGGGCAAACTTGAAATCAACAAGAAGGTTCTTGAAAATATCTTGATGAAACCCCAGTGGAAAGATGAGCGAGTGATGGTCTTGTCAATTGCTGGAATATTTCAGTCAGGAAAATCATTTTTACTCAATTTGTTGATCAGATATCTTTCCCAAAATGTACGTATACTAAAGCTCTGTCCAGGCTATGACATTTTCTTTGAAAAATCATTCTATTGTATGTCTATAGTCATGATGTTCCTATAATATATTATGACATTACATTATGACCACATTTAGACTAGTCACATGTTTTTATAAAATAAGATTTGATAGTCTGACTCTTAGTTGCGAAGTTATGAAAACATTTTAAAAAGGAGGTCAAATAGGGTCTCGATTGTTTGCGGAATTCCGTGGAATTTTAGTATAATATTCTACAATTCTTCTTGTGAGAAATGTTTGGTTGTGCCTATATTTAAGACCTAATACTTTTTGACTATATGGATTACCATTTATCACAAAATGTTATTGTTAATAGCAAATAGTGAAACTCAATTAATAATCAAACTTACATTCATTATGTTATAACTATGCAGTGCAAAGACAGGTGGATGGATAATCAAGAGAGCAACGTAGACCGATTTGATTGGAGCAAGAATACAGGAACATCTGGCATTTGGATGTGGAGTAAAGTGTTTTACATTTTAGATTCTGACGGTATTAAGGTAAGTAGACATTATACTTAAAACTCTCTTTTCTATTCCCAGTAAAACATATACATCCTAAACGTGTGCCTATTACTAGGTTAAACGTAACAGGTTAATTTTTAATGTTAAATGCTATTTTCATCTCGAATATTATGTATTTTAGAGTACATTTTAACCACCACACCAGGATTCAATATGTCGCCATTACTTGGTTTTAGCATAGTCTCCAGCCAGTTAAAATTGTTCATTTTTACTACAAAATGTGCACCCGATGCTTTGTCCTCAGTGTCGGTTTACCTCTTGTTTGTTTCATAATTATCTTATCTGATGTTTTAATGGTTGGTCGAAATTTTGGTGTAGTTAACCGTTTCGGTGATAAATGGAACACATTTTGCGTCATGTTTCAGTCAATTCTTTTATTTTAAAGGACAACTAAAATTAAATTGTATCTGTATAATTTTCATAATCTTAAGGTGCACGACGTATAAATAATAGGCACTGGGCTACCTGCTTAATGTTAAGACGTATAAAAGGATAGTACTACGATATATTTCTGCCAGATTTGTACAGGTGTATGTGGAGTAAACCGTAATAAACATTTTATCCTTACTCAAATTAGTAAATATGATTAATACATTTAAGAGGGTTTGACTATATTTTTTCTGTATGTGTTAAGTTTGGAGTCTTATTGATGGACACCCAAGGAACTCCTGATCCATACTCAGCCACAAATGAAGACGCACTACTCTTTGCATTTAGCACGTTAATAAGTTCTATACAGGTAAGATTGTGTATTTGTATGGGTAAAAATGTTCAATAAAAGATTACTTTATGTGCACAGTATATAAATTCTGGCTTTTGTAGGTCTATAATTGTAGTTCTATAATAGGAAAATGTGTCAATTATAATACCACCTATAGACAATAAAATAAACCGATAGCCGTCTTGAAGAACAAAACGAATTTCTTAGTCTTATGAAAAGGCCTCCTGGACATAAAAGAACGATAAAGAATTTCGTGGTGAGTTGAAGTTTTTCTACTACCATGACTTGTCTTCTATTGCAGGACCAATAAAAATGTGTTTTTACAATTTGGATTATTTTGATATTAACCAGTGGAGGGAGAATCTAGGTGCATAACTACATTGATAAGCAAAATCATTACATTTATGTACATCGCCAAATACACGAGGGTTATTCGAAGACCCGAACGATCGACTCCAATTCAAATCTGACGCAAGCCGGATTTGAACCGGGGTCTTCAGCACAAAAGCATGCTGTAACATTAGACATATAGCATTCTCAATCATCGGAATATTTATTTTTGGTATAATTTTATAATAATAATTAATAATAATAATAATAATAATAATAATAATAATAACAACAAAAACAACAATAACAACAACAATGTTAATGTTATAGAGCGCTTAATGCAAAACAATGCTTCTAAGCGCTTTCCACACAAAAGAACTTGAAAAATGGAATGACGCCATAAAATATCCTAACAGTAACGAAAAATAAAAATAAACACAGATTTTAAGTATTTTATGTTATTATCATGTTATTTTTTCAACTCATGTTCTCCACCACAGTAATTTAATGTATTATAATTCTACGTGATCATCTAAAGTACGGTAATTTATCATGTTCTATATCAACTCAGTTTTTTTCACCACAGTAAAATTGCAATGAATTTCATTCAATGTCAATTCCATAATAATGCTCAGTATTCCAAAAGCCAATCATGCAATGCAACTCATATATATACATATATATATATATACATAATTGTTTACAAACGTCAAATGCAATGAATCATTTATGGTCTCTATTTCCTATTTTAACAATAGAACCTGAATTGAATTGAATGTTTCATTGCAGATTTATAATTTGAAATCCGATATTAACGATGCAGATCTGCAATTCCTTCAGCAAGTTGCTAGATATGGAACCTCAGTTACAGGAGACAAAAAGCCTTTTAAGGTTAGAGGAACCCCCTTTAAATAAATAGACTTGTCTAGAGATAGACCTACATTCCACATTATTTATAGAAAAAAAATATCAATAAAAAATTGAATCATTTATTTTTAATGTTTATATTATATATTTTTTACAAAATATGTTCTTTTTAAAATTAACTTCTTGAATACATCTTGTTATAATAACCAGTCTATGTTTTTAAGCACAGAATATAGATATATACAAGATATATTATATTCTAAGGCATGATATTGAATATCGCTACGTTGTCTTCATTTGTAATTTTAAAAAGACCTTTGCAAATGAAAGACTAATGACCTTATAAATTTTAAAAAAAACAATTGTAAGGCAATAATTATTGTATTGTTTGTATAATATTGACACAAGCAGTTAAGAAAAAGAATAATAGTAAGATAAGGATTATGCGAAACTGTTTGTGATAGATGTAGACATTCCTTATTCGTCACATTTTTATATTTGGTTGTCGGGGGTCGAAAACTCACTTTGCAAACCGCTTGTGTCCTTGGGCAAGGTACTTTATCTACGGTTGCCTCTCCTCACCCAGGAGTCAAGTGGGTACCTGGTAGGTTTGAATACAACTGCGCTGATTACTAGCTGCAATATTATGCAATTCTACCCAGGGAGCTCCATATGTGTTTGATCCAATGGCCGGGGTAGTAATGTGAAGTGCTTAGAGGCTTTATGCACGAAGCGCTGTGTAAGACCGACATATTATTATTATTATTGTATATTCTGTTGTAAAAATATGCCTTTGTATCAGCGATACTCATTACCACTTAGCTACATATGAACGATTCTGATGAGATTTGAAATGCCCACAACGAGAAGAGAGTATGGAGGGGAGTTTACATGTATACATAGCAACATTTGTATGCTGTTACAGAAAATTTAGTTTTTTGGCTTTCTTATAAGTCACAAATTATATCGAGTCTAATAATACATCATGTAAAGTTTTTATATAGGCCTATATAACGTATTTAATTAAAACTGTAGCTTAGCAGTGAAGTTTAAACCTAGTAGTGGCACTTACTAATCAAAAAACAATTATTATCAGAGTGGTATAAAATGTGTTTAAAAAGATTATCGGTACTTCCATGGTTTACTGTTACTTTCCTGTTTTGGTCATGATGTAAATCTTTAAAGTATAATATTGTTCATATTTGACACATTATTCACTATTATATGAATGAATTATACTTTCAGTCACTGTTATTTCTTATTCGGGATTGGCAGAATCAACATGAATGCAACTTTGGCAAAGATGGTGGAATCAAATGCCTTACAAAATGCATGGTTAGTCACAGTTCATGTCTTCAACCTTATAATCTTAAAATAAAGCTCCTGCTTTTAGGACTAACACCAGAGTTCGCACTCGGAATGTTCGTATGATGTTTTATACGGTGACGTTTTGGTTTCATTATAATATATTACAAAATGTTTAATTTTTCAGCAGAATTACGTATATTTATCTTTGACTTAAACAATAGGACAAAAACCAAGACCTTAAACAATCCATTCATCAGGTGTTCGAAAACATAAGCTGTTTCCTTATGCCTCGCCCAGTAGAGAATGCTTGGAATACTTCCATTTGTCAAGTTAAAGGTTGGAAAATATAATGGAATTTTACGTTTAATTTTAAGAAAGTATAATGATAATAATATTAATAATAATAATTATTATTATTACCATTATTATTATTATTATTATTATTATTATTATTATTATTATTATTATTATTATTATTATCATTATCATTAATATTATCATTATTAATATTGTTATTATTATTAATATCATTATTATTTCAAAGTACCGGTTTATTTTAAGCACATTTGCACAATTATCAAAGAAATGTACATTAAAAAACAATAAAAGCAATGAATACAAAATAGTAAACGTGATATTATACTACATCATTAAAAAATATTCCAACAATGTTGTAAAACTGATTTTTTTTTTTAGACAAGAAAATTAAAATTGACGAAAGACTATAGGAAGCGGTTAATAAGATACAGATTTTTGAAGATTTACAACCTGGGAGTGGGGGGATAAAAAGCGGGAGGTTATGCAGTTTTTAAATATCCCACCAACTACAAAATTAATATCGGCATTAGTTTGAGACGCTCCTCCCTCGGGTCTCGGTAGAGTAGAATCAATAAAGGCCTGTTAGAACCGTTAATGTAGAAAACAAAAGCTAATGTATTAACAACTGTTAATGTAGTACACTCCACAGCTTATGTAGTAAAACTCCCGCTAATGTAGAAATACTAACAGCTTATGTAATAAGAAGAAAATCAACCCCAGTTTATGTAGAACGCTCAACAGCTTATGTACAGACCAAAATTGTCTCACAGCTAATTTAACTACTATCGCGAGCTAATGTAGAATATTAGAATACCATTGGCGGAAAAAACATGGGAGGAACTAAAATTAGGTTGCCTGCACATTTCATAATGGCCTGTAAACCTGTGAGGGCACTTTAAAAAAGGGTTGCTATGCCTGTATTATAAGGTGCTCACCTCGATAACCACTAATCAATAAGGGCTTAATGGTATAGCATTGTTCATAAGATCGACAATGCCGTAGGTTAGTCGTTGTCGGTCGGTTGGTCCCCATTACGTTTAACATCTATTTTCCCAATTTCAGTTAAGCCGGGCACTCACTGCGCCCGTCCATCGTCGGCCGACGCGATTCTATGGAGAACGATCCGTTCAGACTGCCACCGACAATTAGCAGGCAGCATGGTGTGGCGTCGTCTATCGTTCACAGGGAGCGAAGTTAGATTCGTCGTACGACACAGTGGTAGTGCCCTGCATTATACGTATTGGTTTAGCAGACAGTTTATTAATAATGTCGGTCGGTCGGTCATTTTATCCGTCTGTTGGTCTGTCTTATATATCTTACATTGGCGGATCTGGAGGGGTGATGGGGTCCTGACCTCACTCCCCTCCTGGGGGAAATTAAAAAAGAAATCTAGACCTACTTTGTTTAGGACCCGTGAGCTGAAATTTCTATTGTTACAAAAATATTGTAACAAAAAAAAAATAGAGAATGATAAGTCGGGAAAGCTCATTTTCCGCCATGTAGGAACCAATAATTTTCCCGGTAAAAACCCGGACCCCCTTTCTTTTTGGGGTTTATCGATTCATTGGATCGTTTTCAAGAGACCTAAACCTAAACTTTTAATGCCTTAAAAGTCATTAAAAGACACCTTAGAATTCGGGAAAAATCATTTCCTGCCATCTAGGAATCAAAATTTTCTCGGCCTTCTCCTCTTTGGGGCTCATCGATTCATGGAAAAAAGAATGCGTATGCAACTACCCAACTTTTTATGTATATACGCACATAGACCTATTTACTGTAATAAGAATGAAAAAGTTTACCTGACCATTTTAAAGAGGGGAAAAATTAAAAGACACCTCAGAAGTCGGGAAAGCTCATTTCGCGCCATCTAAGATTCAAAATTTTCCCGGGGAGGACACTCGACCCCCTTTCTTTGGGGTTCATCGATTCATGGAAAAAAAAAACACGTATGCAACTACTGCACTCATTTTTTTTCTGTATAGACCTATACCGGTACATAAAACTTTTGAATTTTTAAGAACATATAAGTCATTAAAAGACACTTCAGAAGTCGGGAAAGCTCATTTCCCTCCCGTCTAGGAATCAAAATTTTTCTGAAGAGGGCCCATACCCATCCCTTTCCTTTTTTTTTTTTTTTTTGAAACATTATGACCCCACTCCACGTAATTGTCAACCTAGATCCGCCCTTGATCTTGTTATATATAAATTAAACAGCCAGAGAAAAATGCATTCCCTTGGTAATAGCCCTTCTTCAGATCGAAATATAAAATATATAGCCATATAAAATTCATGTATAATAAAATGGTGGTGATTTATTGGTTATGGTATTCACCTTGACAGCAAGAGGTTACAGGTTCGATACCGTCGGAGGTAATTTATCTCATAATTTATTTATAGAATAATACATTGAGGACTCACTGTGCGATGGCAAACAACAAACAGGCATCAAAACATAATTCGAAACAATGTTTTCGACGAAATACAGTGCTGTTGATTATAATTTAAAGACGTAATAGTTTGAAGCTGGTAACCTCGATTATATGTTCCTTTTTGATATAAGATGTTATACTATATTGTACATTAGATGGCGATAGTAGTTACATTAGCTGAGAGGCAATTTTCGTTACTACATTAGCTGTTGAGCGTTTTATATTAGCTGGGGTTGATTTTCGTTTTACTACATAAGCTGTTGGCGTTTCTACATTAGCGGGGAGTTTTACTACATAAGCTGCGGAGTGTGCTACATAACGGTTGTTACTACATTAGCTGTTGTTTTCTACATTAGCGGTTGTAACACGGCCTAAGAGTCTTCCCGGATAAGGACTGTGCATTGGGCATTTCAAAGAACGCATTACATTTTACTGAAAGTAGGGGTTACCACAATGTTCTGGTTTATTTCTAACTGTGAAATGAAAAAGTTAATATGTGCCTCTCGGCTATTAATAAGGAGCTTCCGATTTATGTGACGACGGGACGCTAGAACGGAATCACTTATGCGTGAACGTCCTACCTGGCGTCCTACGTTCTCTGCATAGGCCCTACGTAGATTTGGTCAAATTGCATTCCAGAATCTACTCGACGAGGTGGCCACGTTCTCGCATGCGCAGGTGACTTTTAGTGACGTCATTACGTTCAACGTCCTACCGCCGTCCCAGCGTCGACGTGCATTTAAAGCTACCTATTTATAGAGTCACAAACCACTTCCATATGCAATTCGGCACAATGACGCTGAGCTTTATGCTTTTTACCCTTTATATACACAGAAAGTATTTAAGAATTTGGAAGGATGCAAAGCTTTATTATAGGCATTGGTATAGTCTCTAAATATATCATATTTTTGCTTTTCTACCTTGCCAGATAGGTAATGATTATCTGTGTTTTTATAACGATGCTGCCTTTAAATTAACCAGACTCATATTTTCATATTATGGTTATATTTTTAGACATTGTTGAACAATTCCTTGTTCAGATGAAGGCTTTGTTCAAGATTTTGTTTTCATCAAAAATATCTGAAGTTAAAGAGATAGATGGCGATGACGTCACATGTGCAAGATTACTTGATTACTTTCAGGTATTATTTTAAAGGTATTATTGCAGCAACACGATTACAAAATACTCCAATGTGCAAACTATATGGCAACTATGACTATTCATCTATATTTCAGTTATATGAGAAGTCTATCAATAAAGTCAAGTTTGAAATTGCATCAAAAATTGAGGTGAGAATAATATTTTGAATAACTGTTTTGCTAGCTTAGTTATTTCTTAAAATCTGATTATGTAATCTAATCTTGGAAGCGTGTACATTTGATGCAATTCTAATTGTACACTAATATGTAACTTTACAGCCACGTCGAGAGTATTTGCACGTCGGTGGTGGCAACGACAGTGGCAGCAGTGGTACAGGTGGCGCAAGTGACCTTAACGTTCTCGCATGCACAGGTGACTTTTAGTGACGTCATTACGTTCAACGTCCTACCGTCGTCCTAGCGTCGTCGTGCATTTAAAGCTCCCTATTTATAGAGTCACAAACCACTTCCATATGCAATTCGGCACAATGACGCTGAGCTTTATGCTTTATACCCTTTATATACACAGAAAGTATTTAAGAATTTGGAAGGATGCAAAGCTTTATTATAGGCATTGGTATAGTCTCTAAATATATCATATTTTTGCTTTTCTACCTTGCCAGATAGGTAATGATTATTTGTGTTTTTATAACGATGCTGCCTTTAAATTAACCAGATTTATATTTTCATATTATGGTTATATTTTTAGACATTGTTGAACAATTCCTTGTTCAGATGAAGGCTTTGTTCAAGATTTTGTTTTCATCAAAAATATCTGAAGTTAAAGAGATAGATGGCGATGACGTCACATGTGCAAGATTACTTGATTACTTTCAGGTATTATTTTAAAGGTATTATTGCAGCAACACGATTACAAAATACACCAATGTGCAAACTATATGGCAACTATGACTATTCATCTATATTTCAGTTATATGAGAAGTCTATCAATAAAGTCAAGTTTGAAATTGCATCAAAAATTGAGGTGAGAATATTTTGAATAACTGTTTTGCTAGCTTAGTTATTTCTTAAAATCTGATTATGTAATCTAACCTTGGAAGCGTGTAAATTTGATGCAATTCTAATTGTACACTAATATGTAACTTTACAGCCACGTCGAGAGTATTTGCACGTCGGTGGTGGCAACGACAGTGGCAGCAGTGGTACAGGTGGCGCAAGGGCATCAGCGGCAAAAACAGCAACAGTTGTGACAGTAGGTCAATGCAAGTGGTTTCAATTGAATTAAATATACTACATTAATTATTGTATTTTTCTCAGTAAAAATTAAATTATTGTTAAAATGCTTATTTTTTTTTTTTATTTAACTAACCTGTATGTTTTATACAATAGTAGGCTAGTAGTAGTTTCTTACCTGATTAAAACCTAGTCCAAAATGAATGATCATGGTATCGCACTACTCTTTGCAATTTACAAACCAATCAGGTGATTAAACTATTCCTCTTGTTAGAAAATGAAAATAACTTGTGGGCCTGCACATTTAAAATACTTGCATTTCACGCTTAATATGATGCTTGGAATTAAAATAAATGGCGTTTCTTTAAAGAAAAAACTTTTGTTCGGTGTTTTCTTTCTTTCTTTTTTTTTTTTTTAGAAAATTGGAAACAGCGATTCTGTGTATAAGCCTAAAAAGGACAAAAGAGTCCAATCAGAACCTAAATGTGGTAAGATTCTGAATGATAATGTATATCTCCTGGTTTAATTTCATTAAATTTACGTTCTTATTTATTACACATCGCTTATTAACTGCGTTAATAAGCAAAATCTTTACAGCACCAGTGTTTCAAGAATATCTAAACTTATGTAGTAAGCTTAGTACTTATTAACCTCTATTAAATTCTTGGGTTTTAGAATTATACACTTACCGTAATGTTTCCCAACACCGAATATTGGTAATATCACGCTATGGTGATATTTAGGTAAATTTGTTTATCCAACTAAGCACACCAATCTCGGTTATGATAGTAAACTTGTAACACTGGATTCATATTGCTGGCGAAAGTTTTATCTCTCTGTCTTTTGGGTTCATCCCACTTTTATTTGTTAGTTTTGCACATTCTACAATAAACATAGCATGTATCGCTCACAAACACTGCAAATTTTACATAATATATAAATAATATGACATATAAAAGCGTAATTTTCCCTTATAAATAAATGTAAACTTGATTCGTCGTAAAAAAATTATTTCTCATATTTCCCTCTGTTATAAAAATGCAAAAAGAGAAATCTATCGTTTCACTTATT